ACAACACCATCATTTATATTTACAATATTTACAAACAAACGACTACTTTTTATCACATTTATATAAACTCAATTTACTATCGAAATGGACGCTCTATCTAATGTAAATAATTTCGAATCTTGTGTTATATTACAGTCTTTTACACAATCAATTAATAATTTTTATTTTTTACTTTTTGGAAACCGACTTTACCTTACACTCGATTCCCTTATGAATAGACGATTACAAAAATCACAATATAAGTTCTTCGATTCCACGGCCGAGACTAAATTCGAGATGTAACAGGGATACAAAAGAAATTAAAGCTATGTCATTACCGTAATAGTAAGAAGTAAAAATTAAAAACCGGTCTTCAAAAAACCAAAAAGGTCAGAGACCTAGTTTAATCGAAAGCAGTTAGCAGACACTACAATATAACCTAGCTACTCTCGCTATACACAACTAAATTTGATTATGTCAGCTGTTTTGACTATCTTGATATTCATAGTCGATGTGAACAATTTTAAAAAGTTTTGAAATTGTGATCCATATATTAAAATTCAACTCCAGAAACTTGCTGCATATTTTTGGCCTAAATCCGGGAGCGGTACCAAATAATCTTTTAATGAAAACCATCAATTTGGACAGATACAATTGTAAAATGTAAGGTACAACCACCTCAGCAAATGATCGATGCTTATGTAGTATTCTTTTCGAAAACATTTTTCTGACCTATATATATATATATATATATATAATCCCCATTGAAAATGGAGGTATTTAGTTACACATGGGTTACTACGTACTTGATTATACTAATGTTTATACTTTTAATAAGACTTTAACCAATCAACAAATGTAATACAACTAACTAGAGCTACAAAATAAACATGCATTTATTCAAAATTTCAAACTGTTACGTGATCATAATCTCATGTACATCAAGACAACAATAACCATTAAATCATTAAAAACACTTTGACTTGACTGACTACAAATTTTTCCTATTTGGTTTGAAAGAGGTTGTTTACTTTCAAAAGGAGAGTAACCGTTTTCTTCTTCTTCTTTTTTTTTTTTTTTTTGAGTTTTTCTTTGTAACGTTTCATGGGGAAAAGAAGTTTGACTTGGAAAAAGAAAAGTTAAAAAGGAAAAGGGCCAAAAAAAGCAAGCATAAAAGAGTATGCAACAACACTTTAGCCAAAGGAAATAAAAAGCCTGGAAGAAGATAAACAGAAGGGACCGGGGGAGGAGCGTGTATTGCAAAATCCGGCCACGGCGAGTGGTAATCGGAGGCTGAGGGAGGAAAAGGTAGAAGAAAGAGTATCCAATGATTGTACAGAAATGGGTGTCGGGTCAACACTAGACAGAGCGACACGCACGAGGGGATCGAGGATCTCGGGCCCACATGCCGCCACGTGGGTATGCACTTGCATGCCTGTGCACGTGAACTCATGCAGGTTTCCCGCGTGATCCCATCCCCATTCTCCCTCTCCTTTGTCCCTCCTTCCAATCCTTTTCAATCCCTTAGACATACTTACATACTGTGTGTGTGCGTGTTTTATTTATTTGTCATTTTTACTCCTTAAAAAAATTTGACCTTTGGATTTACTAAGGAGACGTGATTAGTGAGTGATCATATCCTGGCTTGCTTTACATTTCATCATGGCATGTTCAAACTAACAAGACGTTCAATTTTTGAACTGGTATCCTTAATTAAGTGGTTTGATCTGTCATTAGTAGAACAGCGACTACTCACTCAAAAAGTCAACCTTTGATGGAGTAATTATAAGTTTCTCTCTCTTTTTTTTTTCCTAACAGATTAATCTAATTTCTGAGACAGCTTAATTTGATTCAACTCGATGTGTAGTTTCATTGAATTTACACCGTTTACTACCGATGTTGATGTACACGACAATCCGTTCTATAGCCGGGTGAATCGAATTCTCCATTCCTGATACCCTATAGTTGTTTTTGTGTGTGTGCGAAAGAAGTTCATTTTTCTTTTAAATCTATTCTTTTGGTTCCTTAATTCTTTATTTAATAAAATATCTCTCAATATCATCTGACTTGTTTGATGAAACACTAATCTTTTCTCTGTTAGAGTAGAAAAGACCATAATTAATGTCTCAAATTACTTTGTTATAACATTAAACGACTCTTTTTTTATTGTCGAAACAATAATCATATTTATAAAAAAATAACCAAATAGTTATCTTCAAAGAGTACAACCACAATAATGACAGATACCACAATCTATGGTTGGCCTATAAATCTGCCATAGATATTCATGGATATCAGATATAGGCAGATTAAAGAACAAAGCAACAAATCTGATTACAATAAGGGAAGATCAAACCGAAAGAGATTTTTACAAGGAGAGTAAATAATGATTGACCAAAAAATTGCCTCGAATAAAAAACTTGAACTTAAAAACTACCCCAATCTCTCGTCGATATTGTCATTCTCTAACGAAAATATTACCCTTCAAAATCTATACCCTTAATTTAAAGCGCATTTTGTACAAGGCAGTTAGTATTTCACCAATTCCTAGTTCGATGGTAGTAACAATTAACAAATCAACAAGGTTGCCCAAGTGATAATGGGCGTGACATAAAAAACTTGAGGTCTCAAGAAGTTTCAGCTTCAAACCCTGTCAAGAGCACTTTAAGTACTGCTTATACAAACTTGTAGTCAGGAGGCTAAAAACAGTCTCGGAAGTTAGCTTTCAACCTAAAAGAACCCTTAACAGATGCGTGCACGCGTGAAGTTTCTTTCTACTAATAGTATCTCCTTCCTCTTAGTAGACCTCACAAATGGCATAAGAAAAAGAAAAAAAAACAAATCAACCAATTTGACGATCAAAGACCCCACGTGTGTTATGCGCTTTTTTCCATCACAAGCCCATTCATTTTTGCCCCCTCATATGGGTAATCATGTGAAAGTACAAAGGTTATAATTATTTTATGAGCTTAATTTGGGCGAGTGAATTCAACAGGGGGAAAGTAGTACTAGTACTAGATTTGGATTAATCATGATTACAGTTTCTTGGGTAGAGAGAATCTCAATCTCCGGTCAACGGTCAACGATAAAGAAAGGTAGTAGTACTACTTTTTTTCTCAATAAGTAAGGGGAGTTACCTAGAGATTGGAGCACTCATGAAAGAAGACATGTCGCACAAAAACCACAGTGAACCAATTTTCATGTCGTCCCTAATTAATTGGCAGTGTTATTAACAGTTTGAGGTCGATGTTCCAAGATAATGAGCAAATCGAACCAGGAGTTTGTATACTCTCTCCGTTCTAAAATAAATGTTGTCCTACACTTTATACATAGTTTTAAAAACTTTTAAATAAAGTAATAAAATTACTTGAGTAACCTTAACCAATCCCATTAAAAAAATGTCTACCAATAGTATTAATTCTTTTGGGGTTAATTTTAGAAATTTTAGATAAAAAGTGCATTGAAATGTGAAAACGACATTTATTTTGAAATTTTTCTATTTTGTTAAAACGACACTTATTTTGAAACGGAGGGAGTACATCCTATTGGAAATTTGTGCAATGAAAATGTGTAATCACTTGTAAACTCTATAGGATGTATACAACTTTCAAGTTTCAACTTAATCGTTGTGGAATACAAATTTCTATTGCACAACTTTGTAATAAACTAATTAATTGTAAAAGAAATTATGAAGTTAGACAAACTTAAAAAATAAAAAAAAGGTGATAAAATAATCATAAATCAAATTGCTACTACATTCTTATTTGATGAGACGGGAGAAGTATTTTCTGGAAACTCAACATCAACTTTCAATGGTGTGACATTTACTGGGAGAAACAGGCTATTAGTCTACAAGTCACTGGGCCACTCATTTTCTTTTTCTACAATCTATATTAATGGGATTTATTTTATTTTTTATTTTTTAATTATTATGTTTTTTATGTGTAATGGCTCGCTCATCATCAAATGTTTTCAAGTGTTCACTTGATTTTGGCAATGTTGTTACTTCCAGGCATGATTATAACGAAGCATGGTCCATTAATTTTCATATCTCCTCAAATTTGACACCTCGTTAAGAAGAAAGTCCGAGACTTTGTTACAAAACATCCTTTTAAAATTAGAATGAAGGTAATAACTTATCGCTTATAATAGAGGGCGTCGGTGACAAAACAGTTCTCCTTACTATGCTAGAGAAACCAAATTTCGTCAATACATTACTATTGCTGTGAAATATTAAGCGTTGTTGCTTCCTAAGTTTATTTTATTTATATAAAAAAAAGGAATGATTGAGTTACACTATTTTTTTTGACTTTCATATTAAGGGTATGTTTGTTTCGTTTTTTTATTGTGTGTTTTTAAGTATTTTTTGTATTAAGAATGTAAAAAAAGTATATTGGGATGAGACAATTATTATTAATTAATTCTGAAAAAACCCAACTAAAAAACAAAACAAACAAAGCTTAAATAAATAACTGAATGGCTCTATAACAATTTATTGTATACATATTTTTATTGCATAAAGAGGCAAAACGTTTAGAACATTGTGGGTGAAAGATACCGCTATCAATATACACTTTATACATCAGCACATCCTTTGGACTTTTTACATCATTCTCAAATAAAATTCATATCAACATGGTTCATCTTTTCCATGATAGACTTTCCAGTAGTACTTGTTCACCATTCACATTAAACAAAAAAGCAAAAAAGAAAAGAGGAATGAATACTTGTACTAGCATTAAATGAATATACAGAAGAGAAGAACTTACAAGTCTCGATAACAAAGACTGGTATATAGGTGAAATCTTCTTTCTACACATAAATGCCTGCAACAATATCGAGAGATATTTACTGCAATGAACAGTTATTATTACAACATTATCAGAAACCAAACACATCTCCTTTTCTTACACACAGTGTTCTTCAATACAGCAGCAGTAAATAAATGCGTGGAGAGTTACTCTTATTATTATCATAAGTTACCATCTCAAGAACTTTGACCCTCATTTCCTCCCCCTCCCAGTCAGCAGTCCCCACCGTTACAGTTTGTGAGAAAAGAAGAGCAAAAAAGCCATGCAAAAATTGCAAATTGCCAAAGGTGCAAAATCCTCTCAGCCCAAAAACAAAACAGACCAAAAAAGCCAATCCCTTTGTCATCATTGAGCCAATAGCCATTTCCTGACACAAATCATCATTGAACATCTCTGCCATCATCCTATTACATTACTACTCTCCTTTTTCTTCTTCTTTCCTCTGTCCTTCTGTTTCTCTCTTTCTCTCTGCTATATAATGCAGACATATATATCTATATCACTATTTATATATCTCATATAGCTTTAGCTTCCGACCTATAATTTTCCCCTCTGTTTTCTACAGAAAAAGGTTGGGAAAAAAGAAATGCTATAAACGAGGCTCTCAGGCCAAGGCCAACTACAACCCATCTCAGATCTTTCTTTGTAGAATCCAATCCAGAATCTGCTTTTTTATATATAGAGTCAAAGTGTTATTTGTGAAGGGGTCTGAAAAGAGAAAGAGAAAGAGAAAAAGCAGAGAGAAAGTGAAAGAAGGGGAGAAGGAAATATGGGTAGTGGTGACAAAGAAGAAGATGGTTTGAAGCTGAGTTTAAGCTTGGGATTTGGAGATGAGAGTGAAAAACATCATCATCATCATCATCAACAACATCAAAAGAATAACAATAACAATCCATCTACTCCTTTGGCTTTCCCATTGAATCTCATGCCTTCTGGTCTGCCCAATTTCATGCACCAACATCATCAACAGCAGCACCATCAGCTCCAAAAGGGATCTTTCTTAGCCGATGTGTTTCGATCATCTTCTGGTATAGATATACAAAAGTCTTCTAATTTCTTCAAAGATCAGATCTTTAATTTATTTATTTTTATTTACTTCGCCTGTTTTTGTGTATGCATTATGTTGCGTATGTTTGGCAGTATATTTGAGTAAAGAAACGTTACCTTTTGATGTTTTTTTTTTTTTTGGGACAAATTTCAAGAAAGGTAACATCTTTGAACTGAAAATGGGAAAAAAAGTACAGTTTTAGTCAAACTTGTATTTTTAACCATGATCATCCTCTTTTCCCTTTGGTGCTCAAAATCGGAAGGCGTTATTTTACAAGCATTTACCTTTTGTTATGAATTAGTCTTTTCTATTTCTTCCTGATCAGTATTTTAAACTTTTTTGATTTGCCAGACAGAAATGGGGCTGAACCCAGAACACCAACTCTGAGAGGAATTGATGTGAACAGGCCGGCAACAGGGATATATAATTACGATGAAGAAGTAATAGTTTCATCACCAAACAGTACTGTATCAAGCGTGAGTGGTAAGAGAAGTGAAAGAGAAGAAAATGAGGCTGAGAGGGCGTCGAGTTCTATGGAGGACGACGCCGGAGATGCTTCCGGCAGGAAGAAATTGAGGCTATCGAAAGAACAAGCAGCACTTCTCGAAGATACATTCAAAGACCACCATACTCTTAATACGGTCAGTTTCAGTTTGGCTTTAATTAAATTTTTAAAAATTTTTCTTTGGGTTATTGAAATTAATTGGGTTGTGATGTTTTTTCTTCTGTCAAATCATAAAAATCAATTCGTGGGTGTATTTCCCAAGATGGCTATTTTCTTTTTGGGTTCGTGCTTTGTGCTGCTTTTGAGTAGTAATGCTGAGAGTGTTATGGTCTTGTCAATGTTTTTAATGATTCGTTGTTTGTGGTTGCAGAAGCAGAAACAGGCATTAGCCAAACAGCTAAATCTGAGGCCTAGACAAGTAGAGGTCTGGTTTCAAAACAGAAGGGCAAGGTCAGTTTTCATTTTTTAATTTATTTATTATTTTTGAGTTAATGCAAGGGTGTGTTTATTTGGGCATTCATGGCTTTTTTTTTTTTTCCCTCACTGTCAAAAATTTATTATAGCCTTGTAGGCCTGTCTTTGTGGTTCAAAGTTCAAACTAATAAAATGACGTGTGTTTTGCACGCTCTTTTGAATGCCAGTAGCTTATTTAATTAATTAAGGACTAGTAGTAGATTGAACACGTTGATATTATAAAGGCTGCTTATCGTCGTAATGTAATCTCATATTGACTTCCAGTTTGTGTTGTAACCTCCATAGCTGTATCCATGAGAAAAGAAAAATGCAGTTATATGTTAAAAGCAGCATTTTGATCAGATTTAAAACTGAAGGGTTACTAAAGTGCCAGTTTTGTCTAAAGGTACCAGCTGTATTGAAAGTGGTCTATCCTTAAGTAATTAAGGACATAATGCAGTGTTATTTGTCAACTAAACCTTAGAATTTGTACAAAGTATATAACATAAGTTTAGGATCATTCGAAATGTTGAGTTTAGATGTTGTGATGGTGCAGGACAAAGTTGAAGCAAACAGAAGTTGACTGTGAGTACTTGAAACGTTGCTGCGAGAATCTGACTGAGGAAAACCGGAGATTGCAGAAGGAGGTGAATGAGCTCCGGGCATTGAAACTATCTCCACATTTCTACATGAACATGAACCCTCCAACCACCCTGACTATGTGTCCACAATGTGAACGAGTCGGTGTCTCATCATCTTCATCGTCATCTGCTGCCGCAGCATCGAGTTCAACAGCACCAACCAGCACGGGCGCTGCTCGCAATCCTAACCCAATGCCGGCACCTAACCAACTGCCATTGTCACTAAACCCCTGGGCTACAATCTTTCCCAATCCAACACTTGACATACGCCAACCCGGATCATGATTTTGAATTTCGAGCACACTGTCCTGTGCTTCAAAAGGTTAACAAGATGATTTCTAGGTTAGATGTTGATGTAACTACATTCCCCTGGACCTGTTCTTCTGTTAATGTAGAATATTTTGAGGCCTGTATAACTGGCTTGTAAAGTAACAACCAGTTTCTCATGTTATCTTAGTAGTAGCAAGTCGTAAATCAGTAGCTGCGTGTTTCTTTTCTAAATACTGGTTTATATCAACTACCAAACATCTGAAACAATAAAAGTCTAAACAGCCAATATTGATTACAGACATAATCAACGATAACAACAATAACAACAACAACATGCCTTTTTTCCACTTGGTGGAATCGACTATATGGATCATATAGATGTAATTAACATAGTTTGTAATAAACCTAATAAACCTGTGGGGAGATTATTTTTGGTTATTCTCTGGGTATTCATCGCCAACAGCGACTAAATCATCTTGCTGAATTTTGGGCACTTTTGAGGAGATTCTGAATTCTGCAACTTCCTTTTTGAATTCTGCGAGGAGATATTCAACACTCACAACAGTGCGTTCCGGACTGCCTCTCACACGTACGTCAACTAGTCTTTTCTCAGCTTCCTTCTGGCCGACGACTAAGATATAGTTGTATTGTGCCACTCGGGCTGCTGCAACCTTTTTGCTGATGGTTCCATCTGTGCTATCAACATCAACATAGTACCGAGCACCATGAATCTGATCCCGCAGCCATTGTGCATAGGGAAGAGATTTCTGAGAGAGACAGGGCAGACAATCGCTTGGCGAGGACTGAGCCAGAATGGCCATTTGCCTTTGTAATGTTCTAATAATATAGCAAACATACGCTCAACTGAACCAAGGATAGCCCTGTGAATCATCACTGGTCTCTCCCTGATCTCATCTTCAGTTGTGTATGACAAGTCGAATCGAGAAGGAAGTTGAAAATCCAGCTGCAATGTGGCACACTGAAATTTCCTCCTCATAGCATCCTTAACACTGATATCAATTTTGGGTCCATAAAAGGCTCCATCCCCTTCATTTACCTCCCATGGCTGGCCAAACTCGTTTAATGCTTCTGTGAGAGCAGCTTCAGCCTTATCCCATGTTTCCAACTCCCCAACAAATTTCTCCTCTGGCCTGGTAGATAGCTACAACTCAAAAGTGAAGCCAAAGATTTTATAAACATGGCTTATAAAATCCAACACACCCTTGACTTCATCTCTTACTTGCGACTCTGTGCAAAAGATGTGAGCATCATCCTGCTGAAATCTCCTAACACGCGTCAAACCAGAGAGCGCGCCACTGGCCTCATTGCAATGCAGGACACCAAAATCAGCCAAACGAAGAGGCAGTTCCCTGTAGGAACGAACTCTATGTTTAAACATCACACAATGCCCCGGGCAATTCATTGGTTTTTGTCCAAATTCCTGGTGTTCGATCTCAAAGACAAATATATTCTCCTTGTAATTCTGAGCATGGCCGGACTTCTCCCACAGCTCCATGTTAAAATTATTTGGAGTCACCACCTCTTCATAACCCCTATCCCAATACTCATTTCGTATAAACTCTAGCAGTTTGTTGTAAACTCGAGTCCCATGTGGAAGGAAGAAACAACTTCCAGGACTAAGTGGATGAAAAAAGAACAATTCCTGCTTCTTGCCCAGCTCTCTGTGATCATATCTCTTAGCCTCTTCCAAATCATCCTTGTATTGCTTCAAGCGATTCTGGTCCGGAAAAGCCACTCCATAAACTCTCTGCAAGCTTTCACGACCTCGCTTTCCTTTCCAATAAACCGAAGAAGCCATCAAACAACAAAAAGCTTTCACAAAGGATGTGTTGGGTATATGAGGCCCTCTACACAAATCAACCAAAGGACCACATCTGTAAACAGTAATAGCTTCATCTTCTGGTAAATCATTTATGATTTCCACCTTGAATGGGTTATCAGAGAACATCTCAAGAGCTTGATCCTTTGTAACCTCAATGCGCTCAAAACGCTGTCTTTCCAAAACTGCTATTTTCGCCCCGCGCTCAATCCGTTCAAAGTGTTCCTGATTCAGCCCCAAATCACCATAGAAAGCATCATAGTAAAAACCATCAACTCCTCTTGATGTGCAAGGACCAATGCAAAGTTTGCAGCCATAAATCTGCTCCAGTGATTGGCCAAGAATGTGAGCACTAGAGTGCCAGAATACATCTCTTCCATCATCATCATCAAAAGTAAAGAACTTGAGCTCACAGTTCCCTTCCAATGGCCTATGCACATCCCAGAGCACCCCGTTGACTCTACAAATCAATGAATTCGAAGCCAAATTCTTGGAAATTCCCTTAGCAACATCAAAGGGCGAAGTGTTCCACTTCTTGCCCTCTTTTAGTATCCCATCCGGCAACACATTAATCTTGATTGTTTCAGAGGGCAGAGAAAGGCGGTGGAGTTTCTGCTCATTCTGAATGGTTTCGAAGAGGGAAATACGTTTTGGGACAACGGAGCGGAGGTAAGCTTCAGCTTCCTCTTTGGAATACTTTTTGCCGGCTATGTTAGCCATCTCTGTGTGACCGGAAAATTAGAGGCCAGCCGCGGAAACCGTAGCCAGAAAAGTAAAGACAGCGTGGGAAAACAGACTAGAAAAAGAGAAGTCTTTGAAAGCTACAAATGTTTTAATAAGAGGGTTCTGATTATTCATAATCGAAATAGGTCTACAATTTTCCTAAAATCAAAGACTTCTCTATTTATTACAACCAGGCTTCTTGTACCCTACGCTACATAAGCATCATCAACATTTCTACCATTGTTTTTTTGAAGGCGGTAGTTTCAATACTTATATTCAGTTACTTGATTCACAAGGAAAGCAGGTAGTAGACGAGGCTCCTCCAAGGAAACTGACCGGGTCATCATAGTACATAGCTAACAAATACACTACGGTCAAATTCAGCATCATGATGTGGAGAAAAATTGTGCCATCTGACAGTTCTAAAGTGCGAAGTTATTTACATATGTAGAAAAAATCACAAACTAGCCACAAAGATTTGGTGCCCAAACTTCCTTTTTGAATGACTAAGAAATTAGTGTCAAACAGTGTTGATGGTGTCGGCCAGAGAACGGAGTATGCAACCCAGGCCAGCCTTTTCGGTTAGTTTCTCATGAATCCGCAGACATTGATCACATGTTGGACGATCTCCAGTAGACAGACCTCTATACAGATATCTGTGGATCACATGGGATGGTAAGACATCATTGACAACAAATGGTTTACACAGCGAATATGCGATCAAACATATGCATCTACAGAAAGGAGTTGACTAGTTGCAGCGTAAAGAACAGAATTTCAAATCAGAATATGATTTAAAAAGCTACTCTCAGTAACATACATCTCTTCTCACTACAAGAGCAATCTAAACAGAACCATGCTGCAACCAGAAATCATCTCGATACGAAGTCCTTAACATACCTAGTACTATGTACCAGACAAGATACCTTCGCAATAATATGTAAATGCAACACCAAAATGATAATTTAAAATGGAATAGGAATCAGAAGACGCTGACTTTAACTCCATTTCCCACCAGTAACCACCGCTGGATGGCTGGAGTGCCCTAGCTATTCAATTTTTCCGCAAGGGCAACAAGTTTCAGTTACTGAAACTATTTAGAAATATACTTTTCACTGCTTCTTCACATCATTCTAATAAGAATAGGTTTTGAGAAGAAGTTAAATCAAGAACAATGGGTGCAGATTCATCACATTTTGCTATGATGTAAACCATAACTGCACCAATAAAATGGTAGATTCTTTCGCATGATCCAAAGAGAAGTTTTAGCTATGATATAAACCATGATGTCTTTCCCTGTGCCGGATGATTATCCAAGTGAGGATCCTGTTTGAAATCTATAATTTCAATCTTGTAATTCATCACATAGAATTACTAAGAGGTACCTGGGATGAATTTACCCTATCTTATACAACACATTAAATGGCACATCCTCCTCAAGCACCGGAAAGTTGAAAAATTGTTGACAGAATAATAGAACTCTAGGCGAATGAGGAGTTGGTTCAGTGGTTACACCACCCTTGCTCCAAGAGGAGGTCATGAGTTCAATCCCCCACTCTAACAAAAAGTAAGGGGTTGGCTCTCACCTTGGGTACCTCTAGGGGCTTGTTATGGCTAACCCACTAATGAATCCCCAATTTCGCACCCGAGCTTGTCACCCCGGGAATGCCTAGGGTGGTTTACCTCCCACTGTGGTTTGCAGGCTATTGCAGTGGGCGTGGGTTTACCCATCTCTGGTGGGGTTCCCGGCGTTATCAAAAAATAATATAACTCTAGTTGGTTTTTAGTTCAAAAAGTACCCCCTTATCCTAATTTCCCAGTTGATTTAAAAATCTATGGCATCAATTTTGCAAGAATATTCAAGTGTTAAACAATATTTTGTTTCTTTGACAAGACAACAGGCACTCAAGAAAGTAGCATGCTATCTTCTTCACGTGTCTATTGCTACTTGATCCATACTTATCAAAGCTAAATGTGTTGAAGAGTCTGACCAGAAACGACACGTGAAAACATGCTCCATCACATAATTTTTTTGGAAATTTATGCATTCATCAAATGATTGGTCCAGCATAGTTTGAATGAACTTCAAGGCTTAAGAAGTTTGAATTTGTGTTCTCTGGAAGGTAAAATCAATAGAGAGAACGTCCTCTAAGTAGCCAAATTTACTGAAGTGCAACAAACTAATCAATGCTTTAGAATGCATAATGATGTCATGCAGCAACGGTGTTATTGCAATTCACATCATAGATAAACTTGGGCAAATTCTTCCTTTGCATTATTGGAGAACATCTTAGTGGAAAGTTCATCACATGGCAAGTAGCTTAAGGATAAATTACTGTGTACAAGACAAGATGGCTAATGCATACGTCAGAACAGAGAACTCTGAAGACATTCACCAGAACTCCAGAAGCCACGCCCGGAGTGCCCTATCTAATCAAATTATATTGGGCAAATGGCCGTACTAGGTCTCACTTCTCAGCAGTTTCAGCTACCGAGGCTGATCTGGTACCAAGACACCTAACTTTCATGACTTCTTCACATTATTTTAGAAAATAATAGATTCTGAAAAGAAGTTTGATAAAAAACCATGATGCATATTCCTCAAATTGGGCAATAACAAAACTGCTTAAATACCAGGACATCTTCTTTTGCTTGATCCTTAGACAACAAAATGAATAAAAAATAACCATTATGATCCAAGACATGTTTTCAAACATTGCTACATCATTATCCAAGAAGAGATCATATTTGATGCTTATAATTGGAATTTTAACTTGAAGTTAATTATTTGTCAAACAGAATTCCAAAGAGGCAAGGAAGGAATTGGGATGAAATGTTCCTCATCTTACATCAAAGTTAAACGGCACTTCAGCAAGTGATCCTCCTCAAGTTCCAAGTCTGTTGAAACTTATTTAGTATCCAAATACACAGTAATTTACTTCTTTGATTTTAGCCTAAGTACCCCAGTAACCTATCTTCCCATTTGCTTCACAAATCCAGGGGACTTGTGAGATTTAAAGTGTTAAAATCTTATTTTGTTGCTTTGACAAGACATTATGCACTTTACAGAAATTAGCATGCTTCTTCAGGTGTACAATGCTACTTCATCTGTACTTATCAATACTGAAGGAAAGCATCACGATTTGAAGATTCTGACCAGAAATGACACATGAGGAAACAAGATCAAGCACACAATGTTTACGAATTTTATGAATTCAGAAACATCAAACCGTGTCACACAATAAAACGATTGGTCACGCAAAACTTGAGTGAGAATTAATGGAAAAAATCTGAACCTGTCTTCTCCAGGTAGCAATATCAATAAAAAGAAATTTCTTTAAGTAGCTCAACAATGTTACAAAATGCCAACAAATGGTGATGCTCTGTAGCTACTGTGCTATCACTACATAGAAACAATAGGACATTTTTCTCCTATCCTATATTACACCCTCAGATTCAACCATACCATTTTCATGTATATCTCAATGTCTTAATGAGTTCAGTAATAACTACCGTGTTATTTACGCCCAGAGGTGTTCAGTCTCCCAAAAACAGCATTCAATTGACAGCACATATCAGAATTTTGCCTCCCAAAAACTCTCAAGCCAAACATTTTCAACTTACTAGGCATTACGTAGACATGAAACTATAGCTTATTCTGAACTCACATCAGATACACTCATGACTACTTGCACAGAAGAAATAAGAAAAGATCCAGTATTACCCTTCCCTCCCTTATCCGATAAATTCTTGCTGACAGTAGATTAAAATCAGAGCCAAATACTTCTTCTGAGGAAAAAACTAAACAATTCGGAGTGGAGAGAAGAGAAGGGAGGTACGTACTTCATCAGGATATCATAATACTCAGGATCCAATGCAAAGAACAAGCTGTCCACATCCTTGATTGCCATTATAGCCCTGTGCACCACTATCCAATTCGCAGACTGCAGTTCAACCAAGCCATAAAAGAAGAATAAAATCAGATCATTGAAACAATTAATATCCAAATGAAAACCAAAGGGACAAAAAAGGTTACTAATTCCTAAGTTATATTTAACCTTGCACCTCTCATCCTTCGTCTTGGGAGGTGACCCTTCAAGAGCTGTCTTAAGGGCTTCCACTGGTTTGTTCCTAAGAAAGATAAAAAATAAAATTGAACAGAACAAGATTAGCTTACAAAAGATCATCCCTTTACAAATCAATATTAATGCAGGACTGTGAAATAAGAGGAGAAAATTAAATTTCCGAACCGAATTCAACAAAATGAAAAAAAAAGGTGGGTTTTGATTACTGTTTGAGCAAGCTCTCGATCTTGCGAGACTTGTGCTCGATTCTCATGATTATGGCTTCTGCATTGTCGGCTTCAATATGCTCTGACGCCATTGAATGATTCTCTCTTTGTCTCGATGGCAAAGAGACTCAGGAACGAGTCTTTACTGTTTCGTCGTTCTCCGAGTTGGCCAGGAAACAGAGTGAACTTGAAGAATGGGCAAAGCAAAGTTTGTTTGCATTAAACATCAAAACCTCCCCTAATGTTTAATCATCCCAACATTTATGAAAATTACAGATCAATCCCTCTAAGTCAAACATTTTGACACAAAATTTAATCTCAAATTCAGAAGTGAATTTCCGACAATTATGTGTGTTAAAAAATACTCCCTCTTGTCTTCATCATAAGTTATTTTGATTTTTTTCCCTAAATTTTTATATATTATTACGCTCTTACAATCGAAAACAAAACTTTAAAAAATATTTTATAATAATTGAGAGAATAGAATAGATGTGAAAACACATTTTTAATATTCTAGTTTCAATTAGAAAAACATATTAAATAAAATTTAGTACTCCCTCTGTCCCATAATTATTGTCCAGTTTTATTAAAATGAAAGATTTTTTTTTTTGTCAAACTTAACTATATTTTACCTTAAACAACCGGGTATAGCTCTACATAAGTAATTGTTTAACCACTAAGATTTTATGGATAATATTGTTTACTAAGGACAAATGTGTAACTTGATCCATAAAAAGTCAAATTGGACAATAATTTTGGGACAAAATTTTTTAGGCAAAGTCGACAATAATTATGGGACGGAGGAGGGAGTATAAATCAAAATGCAGCATAATAAGAACCATAATGAGTAACATAACACCAATGTCTTGTCATTAGTTTGAAGTAGAAATTACATGGCATAATAGTACATTAGCAAGACTTTTAATTATATTGGTTTGATGTTTAGAATCAGCTTAGTTTTGTACAATCTGCTTGTATTTTTACTTGTAAAGGTAACTCTAACTATTAAGATTATTTAAATGATGGACCCCTAATTTATGCATCCTTGGGATCCAATCATGTATAAGTTTCAAGATTAATTAAATGTTATTATTTTATTGAGACAGGAAGTGGATCCATCTGCAGGCCATCTATATAGAGCTCCAGATCAACTTTATGCCCTTTGTGTGTAGTCCTTGTCTCTGATATCTTCATCATCCTCAACTACACCTTGACCAGTACGTCCTACGTAGTAAACTGAACAGGATGTACTCATCAGAACAAGGCATTGATCGTTCAAAATCCAACACACAAGAAACAGCTATGGAACAAAAAATACTTACCCTTGATGGAACCACCAATTATACCGCTTTCACTAGCTTCATCACCACTTTCATCACTTCCACCGTAGAATTTAGATTCAGCTCGAGCCGTGGGAATTACTATTCTGGCAAGCTGTGCAGCTTCTTCGATTGACATACATAAATAACTCCTATATATAGAAAACCCACTAAACATGAGCCACTAAAATATACTCATATGTCATATAACTAACAAAGACCAAGAAAAAGGGGTCATACGTTATCATCATAAGACCGCGACCATATTCTGAACATTATTAACTAGATGACACAATAGAAGGGTACCACATCATAACTCCTTTTAAGGATCGTCTCCTCCAAGGGCAGCAGAGCCAATTTGTCAACAATTTCCATATGAATCCGGTGTTTGTTGAAGACAGACGATGTAGCCTACAACATAGAAGATGGGCTCCACTTAACAAGGTTTTTGGATAGAGTTTAGACACAAATGTCCTCAGCCATGACATACACAGTCGCCGTCAAACCTCTGGGCTTAGACATCCGCCACGACCGTTTACACAAAAGAGTTAAAGGGCTCTGGAAACCTAAAAGAGGACTCAAACCGGTTGACACAATAAAAGGGTACCACATCCTAAGGATCACAAATGAAGAAGACTACTATTCAGCTCTGTTAAACGGTCCTTGGTCCTTGGACAATCATTACATTATTAGGCTGCCATGGACTGATGATTTCAACCCCGATGCAGACAACATCAATGCAGTCCCCACTTGGATACGCATCCCTGGTCTCTCAGTGAAATATTTCCATGAAAGCCTCCTTAGAAGATTAGCCAGACCGATGGTTAAGTACCTGAAAACGGACAGAAACACTAACAGTTGAAAGAGGCAAATACGCGAGAATAGCCATAGAATTGGACCTAACAAAGCCTCTAGTGGGGAAAACCAAGATCGATGGGAAGGAATATACCATCGAGTACGAAGATTTGCAAATCATCTGCTACTCGTCCGGGAAGTATGGCCACCTGAAGAATGATTGCCCAGATTTTCCGGCGACCACTCCAACCGAGAACCACACCAATACGAGCCAAACATGGGAGATAACACCACCAAAAAAATGGAACTGGGTGTCGATCCCAATAACAGAGTCGGACCAACAACAACAGAGCCAACCCCTGCAAATGCCCAACGGTCATCTACAATTGGCGAGTGGAGCCACGCGCCCAGAAGAGGAAGAAGATACCCGCCCAATCCTTGGGCAAACCGGAGCAAATTGATGACACCTAACACGCAGTCGGGCCTAATTTCTAACCCCTTTGCTATTCTCGTAGGTTTGGAGAAAGATCCAATTGCGGCTTCAACATCCGGTGTCAAGGCGGTTCCTGGCTGATCGACCACCTCTGGCCACCACTTTTAACTGGGATAACCCCTCTTGTATCTTCACTGCGGGCCAAACAAAGCAGATTGTCCCACAAAGAACCCCACAGAAAACCACCAAGTCGGCTTCTGGCCCAGCTTCTGAGCCCAATGTTCCAACAACACTACCCAACAAAAGAAAAACAGAGGCCCAGGGAAGAGACAGGGCCTTGATCAAGAAAACATCCGAAACAAATGACTAGACCACCCAAATCTTCCAAATGAGCCCACTATGCTTTCTACAACCATCGATGTCCATCATCAGGAAACTCCAATTACTGAGCCCACCACGGAAACCCAAATCGAGCCAAACCCAGCCCAAATCAAACCAAACCCCACAACCCAATCACACACAGCGGTCTCCCTCCCTAACCCAAACCCACCAAAGCCCAAACCGTCCCAGGTCAAACAAGTAAACCAACAATGCCATGACCCCCCTCTGGAAACCCCAACCTCTGGAAAACCACTAGACCCATCCCAAGCCTTCTATATCAAACATAAGCTTAAAATACAACCATCTACACCACCCAACTACACATCGACTTCTTTGGATGGGTCCCAGGGCGATGAAGGCCCAAAATCTCTGCACACTGATGCACAAAGCAGCCACACTGATGCACTGATGCACACTGATGCACAAAGCAGCCAAGTTATGTCAATTGACACTGGCGGAAATCCAGACTCCGATAACGAGCTCCTACCGGATGCTGGTAGGTAAGCTCCCACAACCCTATCCTTTATAATGGGTATAAGAATAATGTCATGGAATGCATGTGGGATAGCCAATGAAAAGACTATCTCAGTTTTAAAAGATTGGATTAAACTCTACAATATGCAAATTATAATACTATTGGAACCTAGAATTAGTGGAACCTCAGCTACAAAAATTAATCAAAAGCACCGGCTTCACCAACTCCCATAGAGTAGAATCCGTTGGGTTCTCGGGAGGTATTTGGATTTTATGGGGGGACCATCTAAAGGTCTTGATCCTTGAGAATAACTGGTAGTATATACACTTTAAAGCAACCTTTCAAAACAATGCCCACTGTTATATCATTGCGGTGTATGGAAGCCCCCAAAGGGCTACCTGTACAACACTCTGGGGAAATCTTGATCGTATTGCAGGTGAAACTTCAGACCCGTGCTGGTGCTGGGTGATTTTAACGCCATCACGCATACAGACGACAAAAAGGGAGGTAGGCCGGCCACAGGATGCAAGGATTTCTTATCTTGGATAGAAGAAAACGACATGCTGAATTTAGGTTTCAAAGGGTCTCGCTGCACATTGGAAAGGAGGATCAAGTTTTGACCCAAGGATCAAAGTGTATGAGAGGCTCGACAGAGCCCTGGTGAACGAACAATGGGGAGCAAGATTCACCAACACATCAGTACTTCATCTTCCAAGAATTTTCTCGGACCACTCACCCATTTTAGTTCAGTTCTCACACAGCAACCCAGCCCCACGACAACAAAACTTCTTCCGATACTTGTCAGCCTGGGAAACTCATCAAGACTGGAGAAAGTGGTTGGACAACTGTTGGCCGAAATAGGTAAGACTCTCGGAGGCTTTGCAGCTGTTAACTCAACAAATCGACGATTGGAAATACAACATCTTCGGTGACATCTACAAAGGAAAAGGCGACTGTTAGCCAGGATTACGAGGATACAGAAACACAATCAATAGAAGCCCTAGAAATAGAATTGAGAATGGAATATGAGTCAACGATGACACAAGAGCAAGCCCTGAAAGCACAAAACTCACGCTCATTGTGGTTGACTCAAGGAGACAGGAACACCAAACTATTTCATGCTGCCTACAAACCGAGAAAATCCAAGAAAAGCTACGAGAAAATACAGCTAGATAATGGCTCATGGTGCTCTGACCAAGCCCAGTTGGCATATGAAGCCAAAAAAATTTTCAAAAGCATCTATACAGAAGCCGAGAAGGATACCGTGGGAAATTTCCAGCCATCCTACCAAGATTGCAAAGAATGCTGTTAAATGAAATCCAGGAAAACGAAATTAAATCGGCTGTCTTCGAGATGAATCCATCAAAGGCTTGCGGGGTCGATGGATTTGGGGCCGGATTTTATCAGATGAACTGGGATACTGTTGGGCCAAATGTGTACACAATAGTCAAGGAGGCTTTCGACTCGGGTGATGTGGATCATAAACTAAACAAAGCCATGATTGTTCTAATTCCAAAGGTCAACCCCCTAGAGTCTTTCAAAAATTTTAGGCCGATAATCCTCATTAATGTCTCAGCTAAGATTTTATCTAAAGTTAAAGCCAACAGGCTAAAAAGATAATGCCTATCTTAGTATCCCAAACCCAATCTAGCTTCATTGCCGACCGTAGTATCATCGGCAACATTGTCA